GTCTCTTCTGTTCACTAAGGCTGCATTTGTTTGATGAAAAAACTATAAAAACAGTAATATTGTAAAATATTATTAGAAAATAAAATGTAATTTATTCCTAAGCTTCCAAAAGATTAATTTCCACAAAAATATGAAGCAGCACAACTGTTTTCAACATTGATAATAATCAGAAATGTTTCTTGAGCAGCAAATCAGCATATTAGAATGATTTCTGAAGATCATGTGACACTGAAGACTGGATTAATGATGCTGAAAATTCAGCTTTGATCACAGAAATAAATTACATTTGACTATATATTCACCTAGTTATTTGAAATTGTAATAATATTTCACAATATTACTGTTTTTACTGTATTTTGTGATCAATAAATGTTGCCTTGGTGAGCAGAAGAAACTGCTTTCAAAATCATAAAAACATTTTAAATATTCCATTCTTTTTTGAAGCACCTTGTTGGCTTTGGCCAGAAGTCCCGATATTATCTGCTTCCCTGTATCCATGAAGAACATCCTGTGCGTCTCATCCAACAGCAGCACCTACGGATACGACAAACACACACAGACCTCACCAACAGCCTCATTCCCCTGTGTGTGTGTGTGTGTGTGAGTGTGTATGAGAGAGTGTGTGTATGTGCGCGTGTGTGTGTGTGTGTGTGTGAGTGTGTATGAGAGAGTGTGAGTGTGTGTGTGTGTGTGTGTGTGTGAGTGTGTGTGAGTGTGTGTGTGAGTGTGTTTGTGAGAGTGTGCTGACCTGGAAGGCCTGGCGGACACAGTGCAGTTTGGCGAGGAAGTCCTCATCGCTGTAACACTCCAGAAGTTCAGTTCTGTAACAGCGGCACAAAAATGACACAGAGTGTGTTTTCCCATCAGTCCTTGCTCCCTAAGCTACAACTGAAATCCTCCAATCCCAGAGGAGAATGATGTGTGAGGAGGACATCTGTACTGTATGTGCAGACATGCTCACTTTAGAATCAGTGCTAATGGAGTGAAGTGAAGGGTTTAGGATATTTAAGGTCCTATAAAAACTTTACCAATTTAATCATTTATTAACATTTTAATAATATGGCCCTATGAAATCTGTTTTATTTTTCGTCGTAATTTTCCTGGATTCCATTTTTTATATTTTAATTAAATTTTAATAATCAAAAATTATATCAAATCAACTGAATTCTTAAGCCTTTAAAAAAAATTTGAATTTACTGACACAATAATATTTTTAATAATATTAATACTTTTAATTTTTTCAGAAATTTTGTCTTAATTTTTCTGGATTCTGTGTTTTATGATTTCATTCAAATTTGTCATCAAAAACAGTGATAACTGAATTGAACTGGATGAAAGTGACGCACAACAGAGGTTTACAGTTTAAATTAAAATATGGATAAAAAAATGTGTGACCTTATAATAATAATGAATAAACTGAATTATTATTATTTTTTTCAATTTGGTCAAAACATATTGTGATTATATATCAATATAATAATAATAATAATACTGTAAAATAAAATTATTACTGCTGCTAAATTAAAATATTAAACAAAATCTGAAAAAACTACTATTGTAATATTTCACTGTAATATATTATAAAATATTTTTATATATTTTAAATATGTATCTTAAAAAGTATTTAAGAACAAAAATAATAGTACATTTATTTTACTGTGCAACTGAAACTGAATTACTATATTACTAATTATGAATGACTAATTAAAATTATATACTATATAAAAACTTGATTTCTTAATTTTCAAATGTTAAACCATTAAGTTTTTATTATAATATAAAATTATGGACAATAAAAATGTAAATACTACAAAAGTGGTAGTGGTAGTAGTATGTAGTGTGCAGGATTTATTTAGGGTGTCAGTATGCAGTATGTAGGGTTTAAGCTGTCAGTATGCAGCACCTCAGTGATCTGCAGGCCACGCCTTCATCCTTCACTAAACTCAGGGCTTCTTCATACAGCGCTGCCGGCTTCAGAGGATGATACGTGTCCTCTAGAGAGAACGTCTCAAACAACTACAGAGATAAAGAGGGAAGTGACATCACATACATGCAGGAGAAAACACACACAACAGCCTTAAGTGTGTGTGTGTGTGTGTCCTGACCTCAGCAGCAGAGAAAAACGAGTCGTCTGACATGACTGTTAAGGCATCGTCGTCTCGGGTGCGATGGGAACTCCCTAGTGTGGGCAGAATCAGCGTTGCTTCACTCTCTGCACACAAACGGCTTGGTTTAGGAAGCTGAAAACACTCACAGCTGACGTCAGCATGTGTTTGTGCGCGTCTTACCCAGGTCAGCCAGGAGGCTTTCAGGCGGGATGGTGCTGCCGAAGTCTTCCTGTAGGTGATACGCTCGGTGCAGCAGAGACTCAAGCTTCTTCGCAAACTGATGATGATGAAGCTCAGGCTGAAAATCAAATGGTGTGTTTTTATTCAGCAGCTCCTGACATCCCTACAGTATTCTGTAGGGTAGGGACGTTTACGAATAAGAGATATTTACCGAATGACGCTCCACGAGTTCTGACCCCTGCAGGCCGAGACTGTGTGATCCAGATGGACAAGAATGAGCTCCGTGTCTGATGTTTAAAGCCAGCTCCCATTTGCGCAGGGCTTCCTCAAACAGCTCCATCCCTGCAGGAGGAAGATCAACATCAGCTGCACACATGCATATTGTCGATTTAATTGTTAAATGTAAAATGTATTTTTATGTATATTTAAATTTTAAAATACACTGCTGTTCAAAAGTTTAGGGTCAGTGAGCTTGTTTTAATGTTTAATAAGTCTCTTATGCTCATCAAGGCTTCATTTATTTAAACAAAAATACCGTAAAATCAGCAATATTGCTACAAAAAAATATTAAATATTATTACAACTTAAAGTAACTGTTTCTATTGTAATATATTTTAAGATGTAATTTATTCCTGTGATTTTCAGCATCTTTACTCCAGTCTTCAGTGTCACATGATCCTTCAGAAATCATTCTAATATGCTGATTTGCTGCTCAAGAAACATTTCTGATTTTATCAATGTTGAAAACAGTTGTGCTGCTTCAAATATTTGTGGAAACCATGTTTTTTCAGGATTCTTTGATGAATAGAAAGTTCTAAAGAACAGCATTTATGTGAAATAAAAATCTTTTGTAACATTATAAATATATGTACTGTCACTTTTGATCAATTTAATGTGTCCTTGCTGAAAAAAAAAAAGTATTCACTTCATCCAAAAAACAAAATCTTACCGACCCCAAACATTTGAATGGTAGTGTAGAATGTGAAAAAGTATGTAGTATGGAAGAAGAGACAATAGATCGCAATAGTAATCTACATTACCTATGAGATAGAGGTTCTCAGCGTTGGCATCCTCCCCGACTCCCGGCTCCTCTGCCACTGGCTCCGCCTCCCACGGCATCCCAGTGTTCACTGATTGGTTGGGAGAGGAAGGGACTCGCATCTGAGGCGGATCCAAACGAAATGGTTAAAAACTGTTAGTTGAACTCTTTAATAAGAGTTTGTTGAGAAGTAAACAGGAAGACAGTGTGTGTAGCTCTGAGGTTCACGCACAGAGGCGATGCTGTGTGAAGAGCTCGAGTGTTTGCTCTGCGCGAGAGACGAGACGCCGCTGAGAGTGTCATTACTGCGGGTGCTGGGACTCATCATCTGACGCCCTGGAAGCGGCCCTGGAGACAGAACAATGAACAAACAAAATAACAAAACAACAGCAAATGTATGTATAGGGGACAAATCATAAAAAAACTGCATCGATGATTTTGATGTAGTATATAGACATATTCTCAAAGCAGCCTAATTCATTTCATGAATATAAAATTATTGGCATTCATTTTATTGAAACCTATTTCATATTGATACAATTTTAAAATTATGGACAATAAACAATTATAATACTCTAACATTCACTCAAAGTATTAAAATCAAAGTTTAATTTCATGAAAATTGTCACAAAAACGAATTGATGTAAATAAATTATAATAAATTATAATTTTATATTATTTCATATTTAGAAAATGACAGTTTTATAACATTTTATATTACAATATGAAATTATGGACATTGAAAACAAACAAAAAACGGCCACATTCATTCAAATTAGCCTGAATATTTTTTTTTTTAACTAAAATTATAGTTTTATATTAATATATAATTGAAATACTGGCACATTCACTCAAAGTAGCCTAATTAATTTCATGAAAATGGTAACAAAAACTAATTTACGACTGTTTGAGAGACTGCAGTGTGGCTGTGGTGCAAGAAACCTTGAATAATATTCTAATTTGATATTATTTAAAGATTTATAAAATTATAATTGTATATTATAATACAAAATTATGGACGTTAAAAATTTTAATACTCAAAAGTGTCCTGATTCATTTCATGAATATGGTCACAAAAACTAATGCATGTATGTTTTGGTGCAATACACCTTGACTAAATTTACAATTTTATATTATTTCATATTTATAAAATTATAATTTTATATAATTTTATATTGTAATATTAAATTATGGACATTAAACATTTTAATATTCACACATTCACTCAAAGTAGCCTGATTCATTTAATGAAAATGGTCACAAAAGTAATTTATGACAGTTTTGGTGTAATAAAATTATCATTATTAAACGGATAGTTCCGGTCCTTGATTCTGATTGGCTGAGCCACGTTCTAAGCTGTTGTAAATTACTCTACAAACACACACCTTTGTTTACTTCTGTGTGTTGCTCAGCAAACACTTTGTTGGAACCACAACAGTTTCTGAGGAGCTACATTGTTTGGTGGAAGAATACTGTTTTTATTAATATCATTACACTTTATTTGCTCTGTTTTATTTTGTGAAACCTTACTACTGTAGCGTCTCGACCAATCTGACACACTAATTTTTATTTGATTTAACAAATCAATTATTCATTAGATTAACAAATCGTCACAGTCCCCTCATTCAATAGACTGGATGCCAGGGCTTCGCTTGAACACCATCCCCCACCTTGAATTTAAAACTTGACTCTTCTGTAGTTACATCGTGTACTAAGACCGACAGAAAATGAAAAGTTGCGATTTTCTAGGCCGATATGGCTAGGAACTATATAACTAACGTACTAATCAAGGAACTTTGCTGCCGTACCATGGGTGCAGCAGGCACAATGATATTACGCAGCGCCTGAAAATAGGCTAACTTCCGTCAACATAACCAACGTGACCATCTGCTTGCACAGGGAGCGTGCTGGGGACTATTTTCAGGCACTGTGTAATATCATTGCGATTATTACGCTTGAATGAGAGTAGTTCCTAGCCATATCGGCCTAGAAAATCGCAACTTTTCATTTTCCGTCGGTCTTAGTACACGATGTAACTACAGAAGAGTCCAGTTTGAAATAGGAAAAATATCGAAACTCTTTGGTCGCTTTTGAGCGAGATGCTAACGGTCTAATCAGATTCAATGATCTATGCTAAGCTAAGCTAAAAGTGCTACCGCCTGACCCGGAGATCAGCTGAATGGATTCGAAAACAGTAAAACTCAACTGTTTAACTCTAGGGGAGTCGGAAAATGAGCCTATTTTCAAAAATAGTGGAGTGTTCCTTTAACAACGCACTTTAGCTGTTATAAATTCACTGTAAACCACAGCTTCACGGGTTTACTTTATTGCTTTATTTTATAATATTTTATATTATAATACAAAATTATGGACATTAAAAAAATAAAAAAATACTCGCACATTCATTTAAAGTAGCATGATTAATTTCATATATATATTATAGTTTATAGTTTTATGATTTTTTAATAAACATTATAGTTTATATTATAATGTTTTATTTCAAATGAATACCGCAGCATCTTTAAAAGCAAAACATGTGAATATGCTCACCTCTCTTGAGCGAGGCTGGCCGACTGGTTCGGAGCAGCTGTTCTGGGACGCCCACAGGTTTCTGAGCTTCTTTACTGACTACCTGCTTCCTCTTCCTTCCCCGTCTCTTCAACTGATGCGCGGTCAGTGCCAGAGCCACGCTGCCCAGAGCCGTGGCAAACAGCACCTTCTTCAGACTAGGGCTCAACTTCAGCTGAGAGAATATAGACTGAGAAAAGACAGATGGGACAGAGAAAGGGGAAAGGAGAGAAGAAAATGGGAATCAGTTATTATCTGTTTTCACTTTGCATTTAGTATAGGGAAAAAAAACTGCTTAACAAAAATACTGAAAACATCAACAAATTGCATAATTTAAGACTGAAATTATGATTTTATGTTATTTAATTTTTGTCAAAAATATAATTTTAAATTACAATAATTTATATTACATTATAAAATTGTGGGCATTAAAAAAAATTTAATACTCGCACATTCACTCAAAGCAGCCTGATTAATTTCATACAAATGGTCACAAAATTGTAAAAACGTGTTAAAAATCTGTAATTGTTATAAACTAAAACTACTAAAAAAATTTGGTAACTCAAATAAAGCATAAATAACACAGAATATACATATTAAATGAAAACTTAAACTTAGAAAACTTAAAAATCTGTACAAATAGGATGCAGTACTGAAATTACTCAAACTAAAGTGAAATAAAAATCAATTAAAGCTAAAAACAGAAATATAAAAAACTAATAAAAAAATATTTATAGAGTAGCGCAATCTCTACGAAGAAAAAAAAGAGACTTTCACTAAAGCCCAAGACTTGTAATGTATCAGGATTCTTCTGTGTGTGTGTGTGTGTGTGTGTGTGTGTTTAGCTGCAGAATAAGAAGAGAGGAGCAGCTGTGAGGCGTGTGATCAGACACACAGAGGTGTGTTGTGCTGTGTACCTGTCCAAAGGTGGAATACAGGAACACAGGTATCTCAGCCACGGTCATGGCTAAGGCCTGCATGATGGACACGCCCTCAGCGCTTCTGATTGACATCTCAGCTCCGCCCCTCCGTCCTGCAGATGCTTTCACATCCGAGTCGCTCCACACAGATCCTGGAACAGCTGGAGCAGGAGTTCAGCTCTGCAGATCAGCAGGACTCATCCGGAAACAGAGCTTTCGATTCCACGTCACAGCGTCGCCGAGTTCTTCATTTTCGTTACCTTGGAGACAATAAAAACACGTTTCACACTGTGGTTTAGATTAGAAGCTTTGCTTATATAAACAGACTGATAGACACCATATGCAAAACAGGTGTCAATATTGGCAATTTAGAGAAGACATTCAGTTAGACACCTCATATTCTGACATTTACATACAACAATAATAACTTGATTTGACCTATAAATAGCTGATAAATTCATTTGATAATCACTTTGATATCATATATCTCAGATCTGATCACTTTAAAATAGGGATGCACGATATATCGGCCACCATATCGGTATCGGCCCATATCGGCTCATTTTTTCTGTTATCGGTATCGGCCTGATAAGAAAATTTGGCCGATATCTTAAAGCCGATAAATAATGCATTATTTCCTTCAGAGACACTTCAGATGCGCGCTGTTCGTTTGCAGCCTTTTGTGCAATTGTATATTGTAATATTGTGTTTATTTGATGTATATCTGATTTATCTCATATAGAATGCGTTTGGTTAAGTTAAAAAGAGCGCTTCAGTTTACCGGTGATCATCTGAGAACTCAATAAATGAGATCAACAACCCTGCAACTACATGATCTCATACATGCAGAACAGAAGTCACTGGCAGCTACAAAATCGCACAGATTGTGAATGAGCAGAATCTGTTCCTTTTAAAGAAATTTATGTCATTATTATTTATTTATTTTATTATTCTTACTATATTTATACTATATTTATCACACACACACACACATACACATACACACATTCACACACACACACACACACACACACACACACACACACACACACAGAACTCAATAAATGAGATCAACAACCCTGCAACTACATGATCTCATACATGCAGAACAGAAGTCACTGGCAGCTACAAAATCGCACAGATTGTGAATGAGCAGAATCTGTTCCTTTTAAAGAAATTTATGTCATTATTATTCTTACTATATTTATACTATATTTATCACACACACACACATACACATACACACATTCACACACACACACACACACACACACATATACACATACACACATTCACACACACACTCACACACACATACACATACACACATTCACACACACACTCACACACACACATACACACACACACACACACACACACACACATACACTCACTCTCTCTCTCCCTCTCTCTCTCTCTCTCTCTCACACACACACACACAGACCAGGCTCTTTAAAGGCAGTTTCCAGTCACATAAACATTTATAAATGTTTAAAGCGCAGCTAAGATCAGACACATCATAGCAGCTTTAAACGCAACACTCAAAGTGAAATAGTGAAAGAAAGGCAGCCCACACTCACTTTCTCCTGGTTTGGAAGGACATTTTCATTCCGCATTGCACACACTAACCTGTGATTTCCTGGTGGGCGGGGCAAAGCTTTGAGCTACAGCGGAAACATCCAATAACAGCTTCAGATAGTTCAGCGGTAACCAATCGGGTAAGAGGAGAGAAAGACGCAACGCGTTGGTTATCCAATAACATCAACAGTCGCGACGCGACTCTTGCGCTCCATAAACTGACATCTGACTGCACGGAGCACATTTTAATTTTACTATTATTATTATTAATAATAATGATAATGATAATAGTATATTTTTAACATTTAAATATTTACATTTACATTTAATCATTTATATATATATATATTACACACACACACACAAAGAAAAACAAGTAGATAGAATAGAAAAAATAGAAAGCTAGTGTTTTTTTGTTTGTTTGTTTTTAATAAAAAAGGAAGATAAATATAGATAAAGTAGAATTACAATAGAATAGAAAGTGCTAGAGTTAGAGGGTCAAATAAAGGTGGAACAGATGTGTTTTTAGTCGTTAAATAATATTACGATTACGTGCAACACACATTGTATGATAAAATATGCGATATTCATTACGTGGTACTTAGTCCACTGTCATCAAAAGTCGAAATAACTCAAAATGACAAAACAATGTTTTATTAATTTTTACAGACCGGTTACCATGATAAACGGGGAAATGCCGATGATAAAGTACGATAATGGTATTTTTTATTTTCTTTATTCTCAAATTTGCATCTGTCATTTACATCTGTTAATATCTCGTTTAAATAATTAAATACATGTTTTTCCTTAATACTTTTTTCTACGTAATCCAAAATGTATTCTCTTATTTTTATTTTCCAAGTAATATACAATGTAAGTAATCTACTTGTTGTTATGCCTCCAGCGTCACACTCAGAGGCGGAACCAATCACAGCACGGCTTTCCTCTCGGACCGTAAATATCAGCGTGCCAAGGGGAAATGTAAGAAGGCTAATCTTACAGCTAATTATGTTGTTATCTATTGTTTTCATGCTGTCCATATATGATATACTAATATGCGATTACAGTTAAGGCACATAAAATCATTATGCAATGGCTTGTATATTGATTTCATAATGTGTGTATATATATATATATATATATACATACACGATTTTTCATATGTGTGTCCAGTGAGTGCTTGTTGGAAGAATTAAATAGAGTTTTTATATTTTCTCAGGAAAATGAGGGGTTGCTCCCCAGTTCAGCACCTGGGTTGCAGCTTCAGCCTCAACAGGACATGAAATCCCTGGTACAGTAAAAAACACAAAACCAGTGTATTACTGACTCTGAATGAACCTGTCTCACATCCTTCATTCCTCAGAGGGTTCACTGGATCTGCCTCCTCCTCGTCTCTGTGTGTCTGCTGCTGTGGTACAGTCATGTGATGAGGTCTGGACTTCCCATGAAAACAGGCCTGCGTGGTTATGTGAGGGTTCATCTCAACACTCGCTCAACTTCATATGTAAGCTGCATTGACCCTTTGAACAATTCCGTTTTAAAGGAACAGTTCACCCAAAAATGATTATTTCAATTTGCTAAAAATGTGCTCATCTTCAGGCCATCCAAGATTAGGATGAGTTTGTTTCTTCATCAGATTTGGAGAAATGTAGCAGTGCATCAGTGTCTCAGCAATGGATGCTCTGCAGTGAATGGGTGCCGTCAGAATGAGAGTCCAAACAGCTGATGAAAACATCACAGTAATCCACACCACTCCAGTCCATCAGTTAATGTCTTGAGAAATTAAAAGCTGCGTGTTTCCTTGATCTGTGCATATTTCTCACCTAATTCAGACAAGACGACTTTTTCACTGGAGAAAGCAATATTATTAATAGAGGACTATTTTAAGCGACGGTTTGAAGTTAAAAAATCTTAATGATGGATTAGTTTCTTACAAACATGCAGCTTTTTGTTTCTGTTTGGACTCTCATTCTGACGGCACCCATTCACTGCAGAGGATCCACTGATGAGCGAGTGATGCAATGCTACATTTCTCCAAATCTGAAAAACATAAAAAATCGTTCTGATCCCAAACTTTTGACCGGTAGTGTATATAATGTGTTTTCAGTTCCTGGACTTCCGCTGCGGCCGCTGTGCCGTGGTGTCCAGTTCGGGGCAGGTGCTGGGCGGTGCACGGGGTCAGCAGATCGACCGACAGGACTGTGTGATCCGCATGAACGCAGCGCCCAGCGTCGGGTACGAGGATGATGTGGGGAACAGGACCAGTCTGCGTGTGGTCTCTCACACCAGCGTGCCACACCTGCTACAGCAGCAGGGCTATTTCTTCGGGCGAGAGGCGGGAACTAGGTACGTCATTTGGGGCCCTGAGAAAAACATGAGGCAGGATGGAAAGGGGAAAATCTTCAATGCACTAGTGATGCTGGCCAAGAAGTATCCACATACAAATATCTACACCGTCACCAAAGAAAAGGTTCAGTACTGTGACAGCATCTTTCAAAACGAGACGGGCAAAAACAGGTTAGTCTTCCTCTCTTCTATCATCATTATTATGTAAAAAAGCTATTGAAAATGTAGTAAATGGATCGCTTTATCTCTGTCAGGATGAAATCGGGGGCATTTCTCAGTACAGGGTTTTTTACCATGATTTTGGCTCTGGAGGTGTGTGACAGTATTCTGGTTTATGGAATGATTGACGGCTCTTACTGCAGGTGAGTTCAGTTGTTTGAGTTTAGTTTGTTAAGAAAAAAAACGATCAAAGTCAGTCATTTTTGCATTGCCATTCATTTTGGATCTGACATTATGTATATAGAATTGCATCTCATCTGTACAGAAAACAATTTATAGAATTAATGGTCTGTAGAATTTTACGCTTATAGCTTAGTATATTATATAATCAGTGGATTCACATTTTGAAGCGAATATTACTTTTATTGTGTTTATATATGAAGAGTTTATTTGCAAAAACAGATAACTCCGTTTTTTTCACATTTTCAAAAATCATGTTTTTTATGATATTATTGTGTTAGTTAGCTGTATTTTTTTGTTATTTTCTAATCTAGTCAAAATAACCCAACTGCAGTTTGATTGAGATTAATCGGAATGCACAATGAAAAAATTATTTTTGAAAATTGTTAAAAACGGAGTTATCTGTTTTTGCAAATGAACTCTTCATATATATATAATTTTTTATACACGTTTATGTTTACACTTGCATATTTATGTTTATTTATGACATATTTATTCATATAAGTGTGTCAAAATATGTCATTCATATATTCATATGTCAAAGTGAATATTAATTTTATTAGTTTATATATATGTGTGTGTATGTGTAAATAGACAATTATTTGAAATTAATAATTAAATTAATATAATGAATTATTAATAATTTGTCACATTTATAGGAAAGAATTTACAGAATTAGACTGCAGAATATATTTAGACATGTTTAAGTTTATAATTAATTAATATAATTGATACTGTATACTCTTTCACAAACTTCCTTACATGTACAGAAAATAATTTACAGAAATAATGGATTGGTGGATTTTTCATACCCGTTTATGTTTACACTTATAGCTCAATATGTTATGTAATCGACAGATTCATATTTTAAAGTGAATATTAATTTATTTATTAATATAACAATATTAATGTGTTACGTAACATGTAACATTTATACATAGAGAGAGAGAGAGAAACTGAATACAAAACTAGGCACAATTATTTAGAAATAATTCATTAATATAATAATTTTTTACATCCTGGACAAAACAGAATATCTAAGTGTTCATGCATTTTTGCAGGTTTCTTTTGTAAAATGATATTTCTCCTAATGCAGTCCACTGACTTCTGTGTTTTGGCTTGATTATAGTAACGCCAACCACTCGTTTGTGCCGTATCACTACTACGAGCCGTCGCGCCGTCGCGTGTGCCGCATGTACCGCGCTCACGAACACGCCAAGAGGGGTGGCCATCGCTTCATCACAGAGAAGCTCATCAGCTCATCTTGGGCGTCTCAGGGGAAACTGCAGTTTGTTTACCCGCCCTGGCCACCGCAGGAACATCAGCAAGACTAGTTTCAACCAGGTTTGACTTTGTGTGAAGTTGCAGGTCAGGCTTCAGGAAACATTTTTCCTCACAATGTCAGTTTATGCTCATATCAAAAAGCAACATTTGAATCATGCTGCTTTGCCTTTGTTTATTCAGTACGGTTTTATTCCTTCAGTCTTCAACATAATTCTGCATAGTATTCTTCATAATAACGAGCCTTTTGCATTATTGTATTACTGACAAAAATGTGTCTGTCTGTTGTATGTTAGTCTGATCTCTGGTTTACTAGCACTTTCCATGATCAACTACTGAAATAACTAAACCCGTCTGTGTGAGAGCATCTGAATTCTGAGCTCAAATGACATTACAGTGTGTTTACATCACACAATACCTCTTATATCAAACATAAATAATCTCTCAAGTGAAACAAGAGCGTTTCACTGTGTATTCATAGCGATGATCAGATGCAGTATCATATCTGAATCCATGCATTTCCTTCTCACTGATCTGCTTTAACCACTACAGACCACTGCTTCTGTAACTCAAGCCTAGTTAGCGGTAATCAGAGTTAACTAACTAACTTCCCGTCACAGACTGAACTTGCTCGGATGTTGCCGTTTACTTAGCAGATGTTACATTAAAATATTTCTACAGAGTTGAGCAAGTTTCTATCCCTCCTCTTAAATTATTAAAATCGTACAAAATCGCTTGACGTATAATGTATGTCAATGTCATCTTAGCTGTGTAAATATGATATTGTATGATCTATGATATAAATGCTCAACACGTATAATACTACATGTGACCACTGCAATCCTTTATGCAGTGTTAGATGTGATCATATTTTATTTTCATTATACATTTATTAGTAATTAGTCATATTAAAATAACTATTTATTATTTTGACTGTTTTCTGACACTGATGTTTTTATTATTAACACTGTGATTTCCTAATATTTCTTAGCAAAATGATGTTTTTAAGCGTTTAACATTCTCATCAACAAAATGATGTCCACAT